CAATAGATAAACATATTAGTTGTATCAACATCTCAATAGGTAAGCCTACAAGCTGTATCCACATTTCAACAGATATGCATATTAGCTATATCAACACTTCCAATGACAAGCATAAGAGCTGTATCAACACTTCCAAAGATAAGCATATGAGCTGTGTCAACAAATTATCTAACAAGCATATGAGCTGTATCAGTGGAATCCATCCCCTATCTCCTCCCAAACAACATCCAGTTTAGAGGTCCATCCCCTATCTTCCCCTAAACCGTGGAGTACATCCCCTATCTCCTCCCACACACACAATGTATATACACAAAGGTCATACACACAATCAATCAATACATAACGTTAATGTATTCTATCAACCGTCATACTCTATGACATAACCAATTGATTAGTTTTAGTTTGCCTAATCATCATGCATTGTCTACAACAATCAAAACTACCCTCCACCGGTAGCCCAAGCAATTATTTCTAAACAGATAATAAAAGCTTCAACAGATAAAAATATCAATGTTTTCAAAAGTGAGCGATTTATAAATCCAACTCCATCATTTCACAACATAATGAGCCAATTTCATTATTTTCAACTCAATTCCATAAGTTCACAATTTTCCCAAATTAATTATACCAATTAATTTTAAACAACAAATTAGTGCTTTCACCCCCAACTCTCGATGTTAACCCAAAGGTTCCGATTTCACCAACCAACAACTATATCATCATTTTGAAACCCAAATTACAAATTATGAGCCCAAAATCACAAAACCCTCTTTAACACATTTTGAAACCCTAAGTCCCAAAATCAACCATTTAAACAATAGGCTCAAAATCTAGATTAAAACCCATAAGAGTGAGTAGGAATCCCTACCTCAAAAGATGAGACCCAACAAGGAAGATGGTGAAAACGAAGTTGCTCCAAACCACAAGTTTCTCGGATCAAAAGATAGCCCTCGACGATCAACAACCTTTTGACAAAGGCCAAAGGTGAGGAAAACACCCTAGCTAGATCAATATCTAGAGAGAAGGCAAGGTTTTAGAGAGAGAGGCTCTGAAATGGCCTTTTCGGAAAAGTAAGAGAGAGAAAGGGTGAGAAAAAGTGATTTAAAACTGCCCCACAGTCAACTGATATACGACATTCTCGCTCGAGCGGAAAACACAACGCTCGAACGTCAAGAACAAAAACTAGGTCCGCTCGAGCGCAAAAAGACCCGCTCGAACGCCAAGACACAAGAATAAAGTAAATCCGCTCGAGCGTGAAAACCAGTCCGCTCGAGCGTAGATTTCCCCCTCCCAGAACTTACACCCAAAGGCACTACCTGCTCGAGCGCCAAAGTACCCGCTCGAGCGCCACCGCTCGAGCGTAAAGAAACCCGCTCGAGCGTAAAAATCAAACCAGCAGAAGTTTTGCAGGGACACGAAAAACTGGGAGCGTGAAATCTCTGCTCGAGCGCAAGAATACCCGCTCGAGCGGACCTCCTAAAATCTGGGCAACAAAGAATTGAAACCAAAGCCTAACCAACCTGTAACAACTCTGCCCAATACATCCTAAAACTCAATCAAGTGGAATTAAAGGATGACAACAAGGTGTACCACTACCAACATCACGGAACTGAGTCCGGAATACAACAGAATAGTAAAGGGACAACCGAGATCGCTATAAGAAAACAAAGAGAAAGAGAGGGAGAGAATATAGATCTAAGATGATGGATGTCACATTTGAGGTCGTCTATATTAGACCTGAGGCCTTGGAGGCGAACGAGAACGATGGTGGTTGCCAGTGGTATACTGGCATCAAATGGTGTCGGTGGTTGAGACAATAGTAGTGGAAACGGTAGTGGTGATGGTGGTGACGAACGGCACCGGTGGTTGAGACGGTGGTTGAAAAGACAATAGAGGTGGTAGAAACGGTAGTGGTTGTGATAGTGGTAGTAGTGAAGATGGAGGTGGTAGTGGTGTAGACGGTGGTAGTGGTGGTGAATAGAGCTAAAAGAGAGAGAGAGAGAGAGAGATAAAGTTGAGACAGACAAAGAGGAGAAAGATAGAGAGAAAGAGTGAATTTAAAGTATGTAAAGGGATAAATTTGTTACACAAAATACAAATCTAAAAATTTTTATCCTTCTTACAAGATTTCTTTATTTTGGAGTTTATAAGCAAAAAAATTAGCGTTTGTTCTTTTAAAAAAATCTCTATTTTTTAAGGATCATTATCAATTATACTAAATCCACATAACATCAAAACTCAATAACAAAATTGATACAATTAAAATTACAATAATAAAATAAAGTTAATTATTGTTTAAGAATGGAATTAATTATGGTGTTCAAATGAAAGAAAGGAAATTCAAACGGTACGGTGGATCTACTAATTTATTAATTAATCAGATAAGATAGGGAAACAAAGCACAAGGATCCTCTACAGTAAAAGCCTGAAGTGATCTCCTAGAGTGATTCAATCTAATGGCTAAAATTAAAACTAACCAAAACGACGTCGTTTTGGTTAGTAAGTTGAAAAAAAAAATCAATTTTGGCGAATCTAGCAGCCATGGCGTCGACATTGCTCCCAATTCTGGCAACGGAGATCGTGATTCCAGTGTGTGTGGTGGTCGAAACCCACAGATCCGTCGACATTGCTCCTCTATTTCTCTGCTCTCCTCTTCCGTTGGTTCGAAATCTGAGTCAGATTCCAAAATCGTTTGTTCATTGATTTCATTTTCTTTGCACTGCACATACAACATATATTTCTCGCCTCCATTAACGCCTCTCTGCTCTCTTTTTCTATTCCATTATCTCTTCTCTAATATGCAAATCTGGTTTCACTTTTTCTACTACTTCTGAAAAATCAATATTTGCACATATATACAAATATATATATATATATATACATATAAATTATACACTCAATGAGATAAAGTGAAAGCAGCAAGGTAAAATCTCCAAACCCAAAATTCTTTTATTGAAGGCACATATTTTTGTTGTTGATTTTGGTCTTAAAGAAATTCTCATTGTCCAGATTGAAACACCTCAGCCTTTTTCGCGTTTATTTATTTCGTTCAATAGGTTTTTACCTAGAAAGAATGGAGATGAGAGGAGACGCGAGAGAGGAGAAGAACTCCAGCATAGAAGGAGAAGAAGAAGAGAGGAGAAGGGGAGGGGTGGGGTCGCCGGGAGGAAGGAGAGTGCACCGGAGATGGAGAAGAACTCCGGTGGCTAGTGTCCTCTGTCTTTCTTCTTTTCTCTTTTCAGGCTTTCTCTTTCTCCTTCTATTTTTCTTTTCTTTTTTTTTTTAAATTTCCCCCACCAAAACGACGTCGTTTTAGTGAGAGATGATCTCAACCCTTGGTTCCATTAATGAGACAGGTGTCGCGCCCTCATAATTTTACTCGAGGAGATCACTCTAGAGGATCCTAACGCGGAAACAAATACACAAAAATAGAATACACAAAGTTATAAAAAAAATTAAAAAAAAATAGACAAGGAAATGGGCCCCACCTCTTGTCTATCTTCTGTGAAACTAGGATGGAGAATTTTAAGTTCAAAATTTTAACTTGACCATCATGTTAGGACTGTGTAGCCAATACAAGTTTTGTTTCGATAATTCGAATTGTCCAACTCATACAGTTCTCCTTCTATATCATTTTTGAAAAAACATTAAGTTGATCTGATAATTATAATATTTTTATTTTATCACATTTGTTTCCAAAAAAAAATTGATGACTAATTTTCAAAAATATACCTGTTATTTATTTTTTCAAAAACAAATGCGATAAAATGAAAATATTACAATTATCAAATAAATCTAATTTTTTCATAAATGATATATAAAGCATACTCTACAAAAATAACGGTTCAGATCATTCAAATAAGGTCCATGATGGGCTCCACAAGGCCTAACATGAGGATGGAGTTTAGATTTTGAAATTGAGAGAAAACACTGAAAGAGAGGTCCTTTATTACGCATTTTGAGCAGTTTGCACATTACTTGAAATCCTTTTTCCAAGTAACATGTCCTTAACTAAATGTAGTTCCTTAATCGCCTCAACAATGGCCATTCGTTTTCTTAGTGATTCCTCAGAGCATGCGACTCCAATCCTAAGTATTAGAATTAAGCACTCATGGAATTTTCCTTTTCCTATTTGTTTCTTAGAATTTATGTTGGCCGCTTCCTTCTCGTTTACAACTGATGCAAGTTTCCGATCAACAATCTCCATTACTCTTTCTGGCGAAGCTGTCAAGGCAAATTTGTGAAGGGTCAAGCCATCTTTAAACATGTCATAAGTTGGTCTTTTTCCCGTGAACAATTCTAACAAGAGGATCCCATAGCTATATACATGACCATTGATGGACACTTGACTCCCCATGCCATATTATGGGTTGCACATATAATACATTTTAAATTCAATCGTCTGCACCATTTATTTCTGTGGGGGGAAAAAAACATATGAAAAGTTTTCATGAAAAAATATTTTTTATAGAAAAAATATTTTCTTATGTTTGATTGTGACCATGAAACTATTGTGCTAGAGATTATAGTAGCGGTAGTACTAGTGTAGGGATAGTGGCGAGGTGGTTGCCATTGTGATGATGATGGGGGTAAGGCAAAGGTAGCACTGGCAGTGGGTTGGCGATGATTGTAATTGGTGGCAGTAGTAGTGGTAATGGTCATGGTCATATAGCGGTGGACTAGTGGTGGCTTTGAAAAACTTCAATCTGCCAACTTTCAAAAGTAAAAACATTTTCTTTCTAAATAATTTTGTTTTCTATTAACCACAAAAAGTAATTTTTGTAGGCTTTCATCTTCCGTTGAACCAAAGGTCAGAAAATGTCAAAAAAAATAAAAATAAAAATACCTAAACAAACTGATTATTAATTTACACTTACGAATGTAGACATATATATATAGACATATAGATGAATACATCACTCAAAATATAAGGTATATTGTGGATTACCTAGTGCGATGTATCCAATAGTTCATTTGATACCAACAGAGCTAGTTTGGCTCTAAGAAATTTCATTGTTGCGGTGTTGTAGGAGCCTCTCTAAACCAAAATCACCGACATAGGCAGTCATGTAGTTGTTGAGAAGAATGTTGCTTGGCTTTATATCACAATGTATGACTAGGATGTGACAATGGTTGTGAAGATAATCCAAAGCATAAGCCACATCAATCGCTATGCCTAATCGTTGAAAGAGGCTTGAACTTTTCGGCTGCTCATGGGCACCACCACCACCTGCTTGTGGAACTGGATGCAACCAACTTTCAAGACTCCCATTTTCCATGAACTCATATATTAGGGCTTTGAAGTCATTACCTTGGAAATCAACACTTGCACAAACACTGATAATCTTGACAAGGTTTTGATGCTTGATGTTTCTAAGAGTTTTGCATTCAGCCACAAAACTCTTTGAAGCTCCTCTGCTTTGTTGGTCAAGTACCTTCACCGCAATAGCCATTTCATTCGGATGGAGAATTCCTTTGTATACTAAACCAAAGCTTCCTGTACCAATCAAGTTAGTTAAAGAGAACCCATTTGTCGCTTTGAGAAGATTTCCATATGATATTTTCAAAGAAGAATCTATCAAAGAAAATGGCACACAAGATTGCTTTCTTTTTTTTCTAAGCCAACAAAGGATTAGAATAGATGATGCCAAAATGATACCCAAAACCCCATAAACAATGGCACACAAGATTGCTTTCTCGTTTTTCTAAGCCAACAAAGGATTACAATAGATGATGCCAAAATGATACCCAAAACCCCATAAACTATGGGAATAATTAACTTTCTTGGTTTTTTAGAAGCACAAGCTGAAAACTGTAGTGCAGGTATACCCCCATAACGCTTGTTATTTCCCAACACTGAAATTGCATTGCATTCAGGAACACTCGCCCTACTGGTACCTCTCCCTCAAGATTATTGAAAGAAAGGTTTAAATTTCTCAAAAAGGGAAAGCTTTCTAAAAATTTGGGAATTTCACCCGATAGGTTATTGTGTGAGAGACTTAATTCTTCGATGGCCTTCAGAGAACTTAACAATTGTGGAAAGGTTCCTCCAAATGAATTGTTGTCCAAATAAAGACGTTCCAAAGAAGTGCAACTGCCAAGGTTGTTAGGAATTCCACCAGATAACTTGTTATGGGAAAGATTTAGTTCAACAAGATTTTTCAAGTTACCAACTTCAACAGGGATGGGACCAGTTAGATAGTTTCGAGACAAGTCTAGAAATATTGACAAAGATGAGAGACCAATTACTTCTCGGGGTATGCTACCAAACAGACCATTACCATAAAGATGCAACAGTATCAAACCTTGGCAATTTCCAAGATTCGAAGGTATGTTTCCCTAGAAATAATTTTCTTCTAACCAAAGCCGGTTCAATAGTGTTAAATTTCCAATAGAGGAAGGGATTTCCCCGGACAATTTGTTGTCACTAAAACCCAAGTCTTGAAGCTCAACAAGTTTACCAATAGAGGTCGGAATACTTCCTATCAATTGATTCTCATCCATAACTAGAGCATTTAGGCTCACAAGATTTCCAATATCTGCTAGAATGTTTCCAGATATTTGGTTTGCTACCAGTGATAAATGCTCGAGTTTTGTCGAGAAGTTAACTAAAGAATTCGGTAAAACACCTCCAAATTTATTTTCCTGTAATTGCAACATTCTCAATTTGCTACAATTAGGTAAAGTAGTTAAGAAATTAAGGTCATTAGCATGCCCAGTTCCCAAACCACACTTATCTAAACTCAACCAAGAGAGATTCTTAAGGTTTCCAAAATTAATAGCCACTCCAGGAGAAAATTTGTTAAGCGATAAGTCAAGGTATTTTAGTTTTGAAGCATTTGATATTGAAAATGGAATCGAGCCACTAAATTTGTTTCCCCAAATATTAATCACTTCAACATTAGGCAAAGTGAGGCCTAAATTTTGAGGAAGACTTCCTTCAAGTAAATTACTTGGTGCCTCCAAAGCAATCAATGACGAGATATTATAGATAGATAAAGGAATCACAGCTGATAGTTTGTTTGAGAAAAATGAAAGATATGTTAAGCTTTTCAGGCCGCCTAGGGAGTCCGGAATACTTCCCTCTAACATATTCAAATGAGCCAAGAAACGTTCAAGAGATGAAAGGTTTGTGTAAATAGTCGGGATTGCCCCTGTCAAATTGTTGGAATCAATATAGAGTAGCACGAATTGGGATAAGGAACCAAGCTCTTTAGGAAGATTTCCTATATACTTGTTGTTGCCTAAATGAAGACTCCTCAAGTCATTGCAGTTTGAAAGGTTCGCTGGAATTCGTCCTTCCAACAAGTTACTGGTCAAGGCCAGAACTTGCAACCTGAATAACTGACCCATTTCATGAAGAATTTCACCTTGAAAGCTGTTGTTTGAGAGAATAACAGTTCTAAGGAAACTAAGGTTTCCAATAGAAGGAGATATAGAACCTACTAAATTACGGGACTCTAAACTCAAGGCAGTGACCCTCTGATGGCGATGGCCACATAAAACACCTTCCCACTGGCAGAAATGGAGAGAATCATTCCATGAGCTTGTGACTAGCATTGGATCATGAGTTATTTGAGCCTTGATGGAAAGCAGTGGCTACTATTTGAGAAGCTTTGTGCAACAGAGGCATGCACATGCACGAAAGGATAGCAACAATTGAGACAAATGATCGTACTACGCTCAACCTCATGGCAGGAGTGCAATAAAACAACAGGTTAAACATATTAACATCAATAGTTTTGAGACGTTTTTATAACAAAATGCATTCACAGTTTTAAGTGCATTAGTTTGATAGCAAGAAAGATTCTCATATTTAACAAACAATTTTTCATTGGTAATTCCTTTGTGTAGACGTTCGGGCAGGGCTAACACTTTGGAAATATGGAACTTTAACAGAACTGTAAATCATTTTAATCTAAGCAAAAAGTCATGCTCACTTCATCTTTAAAGTGTTGCCCATTTTTCCAGATAGATCTTCAAAATCTTCCACTTTTTTTTGAACAAAACATCAAAGTTTTCAACTATTTTTTAATAATTCTTCAAATTATTTCCACACAATTGGCCTCTTCAAAGATGGACTGTCTACTTATAGTATTAAACTTTCAAACACATAAGAATTTTAATCAAATTTTTTGTGTCTAAAAGTAAAAAAATAAATAAAATAAAATAAAATTGTTGCGAGAAACGTTAGGACACCAATTATTGTCGTCACAAGAATCGTCACTAAAAGGCTATAAAGTTTTTTAAAAAAATAAACTTTAGTGAAAATTTTAAAAATGTTGCTAGTAAGAGCTCATTTGGCGTTGGCCAATATAGCCAACTTTTTTGTGTTGAAACTTTTTTAGCCTCGTTTGGTTTTTATATAGGGGTTTTTTTGACTTTTGTGAGAGAAAAAAATGTAATGATTATGGATAAAAAGTAATATTTCGTTTTATTGACCTTTGTAGTCAATTTTGTCTTTTTATGATTATTTAGCCCCAACGTGAATGCCAAACCGGGGCTAAATATGCTTTTAGGAAAACAACAATTCCGTGCCAAGAAAAATTTACTTTTGCAGATTAAAATTTTGTTCTCAAAAGAATAGTAATTCATATCTAAGTGCCTAATTTCGTCACTAAAATATAACCGTGTCAAATGTTTCGTCCCTAAAAAAATGATTTTGTCTCTAAATGTTTTTCTTACATATCTTAATTTGTTGTAATAGTATAAGTTTCAAACGACGTATGTTTGGCTCTTAATGTTATGCATGTAAACTCTAGAGTTTCTCTCTAATGAATTGAGTGGAGTTTCTCCAATGAAGAGTCTCGATGCAAACACACCAACATCGGTTCGAGTAGGAGAGTCTACCTATTAATCATCAGTCATCACGGTTAATACTGCTTTTTGGGTAAATCAGGGGAGCCCAAGAACAATGAGAAGGCAGTTCAATAAAAAATAAAATAAATAAATAAAAGTTGAAATAAAATTGTTTTGAAACAAGAATTTACATTTGAATAGTGACATGAAAATTATATTGATTAGTGATATCATATGTCGGGTAACATTATATCACTTTTTTTACACTTGCATAATGAATTTCTATTTGAACAAAAATCTTAACAAAATAAATTAAAAAGTACATATATTCAATCCTCCACATTCTTCAATAAATAATCTTCTTATAATTTATAAAATTCAATTTCAAATTCCTTAATTTGAAAATATTTGCATTTTTTGTCCACGGGAATCACATGAACATCTTAAATTTTAATTCCGTGAAAGGGGAAAAAAAAATTTAAATCTTCAACTTTCACTCAATGCTTTCTTTTTCTTTCTTTTTTTTTTTTCCGACTTTAAAATCTCTCCATAAAACTTTAAAATCTTTTCATAATCATCATTAAGTATAATTGTTATACTTCTGATTTTATTTACGCATGCATTTCTTAACTATATTTTGAAATAATTGTATTGCTATCATCATAATACTTTATATAATAAGAATTACATAAATATTATATTTGAAACTTGTATAACTTTAGCAAGTTTGTTTTTCTTTTATCATGAGCATGCCTAATCATGTGAATCACGAGACTGGCTCTTTTCATTGGGTATTAGTCAACTAAGTCCAACATAAAAAATAAAACAAAACAAAATTTAAAAAACAAAAACAAAACGATAGTGAAGCATTTGGGGGAACAAAAAGGGTTGATTTAGTCTTATTAATTTCAAGTCGGCCGGAAAATCATGCTTCCACTTACACACGAGATTTTTCTTCTGCCAAGATGCGGATGTTATTATACTCCCACCGTCCAAATTGTTTGTTTATATGGAAAACAAGAATTTAAAAGTAAAAGTAAGTAACATTCACTTTACTTGGTTTCATTTTTCCAAAAACACTTTTTAGAAAATTTTACTTTCTTATTTTTCATATTTTTTTTGTTTTTATTGAATTTTTTTTAATATTTTAAGCTTTTTTTTTTATTTTTTAGACATACCTAACATAAATATACCTAAAAAGTAAAAAAAATTGTAAAAAAAGCCTTTTAAAAATTCACTAAATATTAAAAATACAAAAAAAAAAGAATTCAGTATATTTTTTGTATTTTTATGTATTTATTAATTTTTTAAAATATTTTTTCACAAATTTTTTACTTAAATTTTTTCAAAAAACATATTAAGTTTTATAATTTTTACATAATTATATTTAATTTTTTTAAAAATTTTAATTCACTTATCAAATAACCTCCTTTTCGTCAATAATTTGTTACTTATATAGATGGACAAATAATTTTGTCATCTCTTTTACATGAAAATTATTATTTATCGTTGTATTTTCACACCATCTGCGAGAATTAGTTTCAGTTTATTTAATCATATTTAAAGAAAAGTAAATGTAATTATGTTAAAACTGTGAATTTACTGTATTTTCTTCAAATTTTGGTAAAGGTCAATGTAATTTACTCTAAAAATAATTTATTATCATACTGAAATTTTAAAATTCTTTTCATCCATTAAAAGATCTCTTAATGTTATTAATTTGTGATTTTTTTTTTTCTGAAAATTTTGGCACAAAAAATACATTAAGTTCTTGTTTTTCGTACCGAACTAATAATTTGAGTCAAAAGCAGTATCAAGCACGACAGTATTTTTCCTCTCGTCCATGGAGGCTAGGATTCTTTCTCCTATAGAAGTTTGTTATCTTTTTAGAGACCTTTTGCTACCGCTGTATATGATTGATCCAATCTTTTTATCGATTTTGCAATGAAAATTTTCTTTCCAATCAAAGAAAAGAAAAGAAAAAAAAAGCATGATAGTATTTAGTTCACTAAAATAGAATGACCAATAGCCTTTCTATTAAAAGGAAACATTCATGTGAGTCCATCAAAATACTCATCTCGATGATTCAAACCATACATATTGTAGGGTATAAAAGATCATCTTTACAAAAATATCATATTGATCAAATAACTATAGACACATTATTAAACTACATTTGTCTTCAAATTAATGAATGATCTATTTTTAAAATTACAATTGTATATCTATTTTTGTGATAATCATGTGGTTATGATTGTCTAAATCGTTTGATTTTTTGTGAAAATAATTTTTTCAATAAACCTTACAATATGAATTATTTAAATTATCGAGATGGCCTAGTGGACCCACAAAGCACAATTGGAAAGGAGCCAAATCCCCATTAAAATTATTCTTACATTTGGCTCAGTAAAACAAAGAAAAAAATTCACATTAAAAATGACTTTCTGAGTTTCCAATTCGTAATTTATATTTTTAGTAATTTTTTAAAATATTTTAATTAATTTTTATTTTATTTTATTTAGATCCACTTAATTTTAATACACTTAAAAAGTATAAAATTTGTACAATTATTTTTTAAAAATTCATTGAATATAACAAAATACGAAAATGTATTAAATTTTCATAATTTTTGGTATTTTTTGTGTAAAATTCATAAATATTATATCTGGATAATCTTTTCTTTTTCTTTTTTCTTCTTCTTCTTCTTCTTTTTTTTTTTTTTTTTTTTGTAGATTAAGTGTATCTAAAAAAAAAATTACATAAAATATTTAAAAAGTTCACTGAAAATAAAATTAAAAAAAATACAAAAAACTATTTTTCTACTATTTTAGTAATTTTTTGGCTAAAATATGAGATTAAAAAATGGGAACAGCTTATCAAACTGGAGTATGTTGCTGGGTTCCATGGGCCCATCACTGAACCCACATCGATGATCAACGAACTGTTCAATGTATAGAACTCGTCGAGTATTTTATCCTTGAAAAAAATCACGTTGATCTAATATCAATAGCCACTTGATTATATCAAATTTGTGTCAACGGTAACGATGATTTTAAAATAAATTGCTAATACAAATTTGATCTAATCAAGTGGTTATCGATATCCAATCAATATGATTTTTTACATGGATGAAGTACTCAACGAGTCCTATGCATTGAACGGTTTGGATCATCAATGTGGATTCAATGGTGGGCTCAATGGTGGGCCCACGGAGGCCCAACAACACGCTCCAGTTGGGTCCAATTGGAGAGAAGCCTAAGCCTAAAAAAAATTAATATGTTTTGGATGATTTTTTAGTTTTTTACCAAAAAAAAAAAACATGCAAAAAATAAAGAAAAAAGAGAATATTTGACTTTTTTATATAGTTGTTTGCTTTTTAACTTTTTTAGTTCTTCTCAAACCAAACCACAATTTTCAGAAAAAACAGAGACGAATAATTTAGAAAAATGACTATTACATTAGGAGGTTAAGGACTAGTTATTTCATCTCTATGCGTACACTTTCAAGTTTGTTATGCATCATATGTTGTTAACATTTTGAATTAAAAATAAATAAATTCACGTGAAACTATAGAGACTTTACTCTGGTAATACCTATAATTTGCTTTGAATTCCATTTTGATCATTCTAGTTTCACACATGGTCTTTTTCTTTTTCAAATTTAATGGTAAGTAACACTTTGCTTAAATTACAGAGTGATGATGTAATTTACTCAAAAAAACAATAAGTCAAAATAGAACTCTTGAAAAGTATAGCAAACAA